AAGAGACAGCCACAAAGAACAAGAAGCTGCCAGGACTTTTCCAGGTTTATTTAACACTTTGAGCCTAGCCAGAAGGAGGGTTTAAAAACTGCATTTTTAAACTAGATTTTATTTGATTAGGATTGTGAAGTAATTGCTGTTAGCCGATTAAAGGACATTTCATTTCTGCATAATTCCCACATCAATTCTTCATTTTTTTAAAAGTTTGAGCTGATTTCAATTAAGACATTTAACTTTAAAAGCTGTTGCTGTAAATGTGCAGAGGTCAAATAAGCTCTAAACCAACTAAACAAACTCATTTCCAGACAAAAGTATCAATGCTTTAATACATCAATGCTGTGTTAATCACACAAGAAATTAAAGTGTGCTAAATATATTTTGCATGATTTGAAACAAAAATAATTAAAAAAACACTCTTACCTATTTTTTTCTGCAAATTATCTCAAGTCCTGATTCCATATAACTGTACAACTTTTGTCCTCACTAAACAGGAACAAACTTATAACTGTACGTGTTTAACACACAAAACCTTTGCATAGACTACTGTAGACCTCACACTGCACTGACTGGAACAGTTTGCTTATTTCTCATACAGATTACAGCCAGGGCAAAAGCTTTTTATTCTCGAAGACCATCACTAGTTGCAGCTCGTAGTTTATTATTGTCTTGTGAGTTGTGGTTTTTTCAACAGAGGGGAAGGAGCAACCTGTTGCATCGTTGCCTTCACAGAAACACAGTGAAAATGTATATTTCAACAATGCTGCAAATAATTGATGTAATAAGAAATAAATTGTCAAAAAGTTGTTTAAAATTCTTTTTTTTTGTTGTTGTTTAATGGCCAGAATACAGTATAAAATAATAGAACATGAAGATAGTCCTTCAAATCCAGTGTTTAATAACTCAGAGTTAACGCTGTAAACTTTGCTCATTAAGCAGCAGGGCGGAGGTGCACCGAGGACACCGCCCCACATTTTGCTGAGAGCAGTGGCTCATTGTACAAAAGACGAGACAAGTTAAATTAAATTGTACTGCATATTTTGTACACAAAGCAATTTAAAACAATTAGAGAAGACCAAGATTCACAAAAATCTTTGCTTAAATAATTTTTATATATTTTATCTGACCTTTGTTTTGACAATTAAGTCCTTTGAGAACTACGTAATTCTTATTTTCAGTGATGACCCGGCCAACAGGCAGCAAATGCAGAAGTGATAAGACAGCAGAAAAGTAACATTTGAATGATAGACAATCCAACATCAAACCATACGGACCAAAAGTATGGATAACAGAAAAACAGCTAGAACGGATTAGGGCTGGACAATAATTCAATATCAACATATATAATGATATAATTTTTTTCAATAACGGTGACATGAGTGAGTTTTAAATATGGAGGTAATATTTAAACACATTTTGGATATTTGGATATGCATTACAGTCTATTATTTCACTGACTGATGTTCACGGTGCAGCTGATTCATGCAGAACAGACAGAGCTGCACCCCAGTGGCTGTGTGAGTGATGCTGTACATCCATCCAAACAGTTGTGCATTCAGACAACAAGTTTTCCATCTTAGAGGGTTTTCAGTACAGAGGACAACATTGTCACTTTGAAACCAGATAATGTAGACCAGCTTGTATCTCTTGCCAGAAACCTCCTAGAGCCTGTCATGGAGTATCATCAACCCTCAACAATGCCCTTCCCCCAGCAACATTTGTTGTTGTTGTTGTTGTTGTTTTCTTTTTATTGCAGCACTTCTGAGAAGGTTTGTGTTTTTTAGCCTGGCTGAAGCACTTTTGTTTAAATCTGTAAGAAAAACATAAGCCTATGCTGTAGTTTAAAGTTAAAGCTATTAATATTGACAAAGGTGAAAGTTTATTCATTTTTTTTCTTTGAAGGTTAAATACAAAAAAAAGGTGAACATTTATTTATTTGTACTGTTTTTATTTCTAAAATGCCATACCGGAGGTGTTTCATAGACTTGGCAAAAAATTTTTTAATCTGTTGTGGTCATTCCTGGCAGGTTTTCTGAGGCTTTTATATTGTTTATTTTTTTAATCAATATCGGAATTATATTGTACTGACCAAATTATGAAAAATATCGCTATGCAAGTTTTGGACATATCGTCCGGCCCTAGGTACACAACAATGCAACAATAAAACGTGAAAAGAACGTTACTAAAAACAACAACAATCATGAAGGGATGCTCTCACTGAGCTTTTAAAAGACGAGAACGGGATGAAAAGAGTGAACTTTAGAGTCCGTTGTAGATGGTTCCAATAATTAGCAGCAAAGAACTGACAAGATGAATGGCCAAAGAAAGTGCATGCTTTAGGGATACAGAGATTAATGTAGTTATCGATGTTGAGTAATGAATGGAGGCAGGATGGGATTTTATATTTAGATCAGCAGAAACCAGTGTGTTTGTCCATGGGAGTGATGAGAAGGCCAGTTCACCAGGGATGTAGTGATGAATGTTGAAAGGAAGTCCGATAACAAATCAAATGGCTACATGCAGGGGTGGAGCTAGACTTTTTTGCTATGGGTGGCATGCTGGTGGCTGTTTTTTTTATTTTTATTTTATTTTTTGGGGGGGGGGGTGCACATACAAATATTAATAATAATCTCTTGATTTGAAAATTCTAGTTGGCCACCACAGCTAATAGCTATAACTCAAATGTTGTTAGAGCTACAGAGAAGCAGAGCATTATCCTTATAGACTCTGACTGCAAATCAAAAATCCAAGATGGCCTCCTAAGGAAAAATAGAAAAAGAATAGAAATAGAAATAGCATTTATTGTCCTGCCAAGGGGAAGTTCAGGTGTCACAGCAGCATCCATTCAGAGGTTCATCCACTAGTTATTTTATAAATATATACTGTATACAATATATCATTTTTCTACACATTCTCACTCCCAAGTCGTCACATATTGACGCTTTTCCAAAGGTTCCCTCTGCGTCTTATTTTGACGCGCAGGGTACCCCCCTCGCGTCAGTCCTTGACGCCCGCGGATTTTCCGGGTTTCGCCACCAGGGGTCTTTGGGTCGGGGGTCTGAGGTTAACATGAGGGATCAGGATTAATGGTTAAATTAAGGTACTGGGATCAGGGGTAGGATGTCTATGGTGAATATTTCGTCATTTTACGCTTTAGAACATGTTCACGTGAATTCTGTACATTTTCTAAAAATGGTTAATTTTAGGTACTACGGTCAGGGACAGGATGTCTAAAGTGAACAAAGGCAATTTCAGGCTTTGGAATGGTCGCTTTCGCGCATTTTATACACTTTCTGAAAATATGACAACAGATTTCGCCCCATCTCGTCAGTAACTGACGTGACGGGGGTACCCTGCGCGTCAAAATCGGACGTAGAGGGAACCTTGCCAACGCGTCAATATGTGACGACTTGGGAGTGAGAATGGGTTGCATTTTTGAGATGATATTGCTGTAGTTGAAGAGTGGGAGGACTGTAATTTTTACCTAAAAATGTTAAGCAGAGTGAGTGTGTACTAAGGTTAAAAGCATTAAGCTAAATACANAATAATAATAATAATAATAATAATAATGATGATGATGATGATGATGATGATGATGATGATGATGATGATGATGATGATGATGATGATGATGATATGAACCGTTAAAAAACAAATCTAATTAGGGAATGTATGGAGCTAAATTTGAAACCTTTGTTTGGGATGTATTTGCATTTGTAAACAAACAAAATTTGATGTAAATAAATATTTAAGGATTATACAAATAAATATATATTTAAAGATTTTATAGTGTTAATATTTGTCTTTCACCTGTCTGCCTTCTAGTTCTGAAACCTGCATTTGGGTCCTCCTTGAGCAACAAACTTTACCAGGAGTTTGTTTAGCTGCTGACATCATGATGACTTATGGAGAAATGTTTCATTACCTATAATACAGTATCTTGGAAATATGACCTATTAAAGCCAAAGAATTTTTGGAACTAGCATCTTTAGTTTGGTTTTGTGTTAAATAGAAATTCAGATTTCAGATTATTAGAGTTGATATTTTCTGTTTAATGGGTACTCTCAAGTATTGGCCCACACATAAGCATTCATTGATCTGACTGTCAGCAGTGTACCCCTGGCTGTGCAAAGGCAAACACGTAGGTCCTTATAAATGGTAAAATGGTCTGAACTTATATAGCACTTTATCAAGTCCCTGAGGACTCTAAAGCGCTTCACACTACAACCAGTCATTCAACCATTCACACACTGATGGAGGTAAGCTCCACTGTAGCCACAGCTGTCCTGGGGCACACTGACAGAGGTGAGGCTGTCATACATAAGGACCATCGGACCCTCTGACCACCAGCACGCAAGGGTTGTGAAGTGTCTTGCCCAAAGACATGGTGGCTGAGAAAAATGGAGTGGAAGTTCGAACCGACAATCCATCTGAGTCACTGTCTCCCCACTTCATAGTCGTACTCAGGGGCCATCAACATGAGAAAAGTGTTTTGTGAATGCACAAATGTTTTTATTCTTACAGCTTTGTGTCCATTTTTTAGAAATTCCAACATTGTACTTTTTGGAATGTGTTCCACGTTGGAAAAAAATACTTGAATCAACTGTCATAAAATGCAACATTTTGAAAACGATGTCATAGCTCCGTCTGCTCCCCCAAATGTTTTACTCTGCTAATTCTCTTCAATCCATCAACAGCATGCAAGCTTTATGCATGGTCCATGTCTAGTTTTCTGTTTTGGGTGTATTTTCACGGCAGGGTTACATTACTGCATGTTACAACATGTTACTACAGTGTTTTTATGTGGACAAGGGTTAAAAGACCTCATAAGAACTTTATAGCTAAGGTCCTCATAACTCTCAAAGAGTCCTTAATAAGTTTTAATCCAAAAACACCTATAGCCATGCATTTTGTGAAATGTTGCAGTGCAAACACAAATGTAAGCGTGTTCAGACTTTTAGCACTGCAGTCAATGTGTTTCTGTTTTCATTGTGTTTCTGCAGATTTGCATCTGCCATGACTCAGCTGTCACCTGAGTCAAAGACTGCTCTCATGACTCCAGGCTCTCCTCCATCAGAGATGTCAGCCCCCATGTCCAGCTTGGCCGTCTCTGTCCCCTCAGTGGCTTTAAGCCCCTCTGTTGAAGAGGAGCGACCCTTGCTGCTGTCAAAAAAGGGCCAGCCACACACGTCTTCGAGGCTAGATGAACAGAAGAGGGGCTTTTCTCACTACAACCACGGCCACGTGGCTCACAGCTTACCGCCTAGCCCAGCGCTTGTCGCAAAGAATGTCAACTGCGGAGCCACAGGTGACCATGACACCACAGCTGCCAGCCATAGTTTCTCCGATTTAACTGAGAAACTAACTGATCAAACCAACAATACCAGTAACTGCATTACAAAAAGAGCCGCATGCCATATGCAGCATTATGCGGAGTCCAGTTGTGACAGCATGCTGTTTAGTGAAACAGAGGACGCTCGGGGGGCAGACACAGCCTTCCTTAACGCAGACAGTACCACGGCCCTTTGGGATATGGAGAGCAGCAGGACTAATCCAGCATCACCAATGATATTGTGCAAGTAAAATGCCACAATCTGGTTGCTGTGTAGAGTGTAAAACTTAGCATAGGATATTTTACGTTTAGGAAACTATAAAGAAATAAGCACTATTTAAATGTTTGTTTTGGCAAATTAGATGCTGCATAAAGGCGTTCAAAGAGAAGGGAAAACTGAAACTTATTTTAGTGATGTAGTAAAACGAGTTTTATAAAGAAAAAAAAAGCGTTTCTGTGTTGCAGGTAAAGTGCCATACACTAGCAAAGGTTCCCAGAATATTTCAGAGAGGAAAAATATCAGTGGTGCCTTTTCTGTTTTGTATGCTTCAGAGGGAAATAACATTGCATACTGGGCTCTCACTGTCCTCATTTTTTATAGGTTGAAAACGCATGCTGTCTTTACACGTTTGATAGAATGATGAGAATGTTATGGTTTCATTTTCAGACATGTGCTTTGAGAAGTTTGTTTTTTTTCCTCTGATGTCTTTGTCTCAGTGCTATCTCACTGAAACTGTTTTCAAGAAATGCATCACGAAACGATACCGCCTGGACTGATACTCACTGATACATTAACAACATGGCTCATTACCTGCATTTGATTAGAGGTAGAGAAAATGTAATAAATCATTTTGATCTGTTTTTATTGGTTGCTGTACTACACTTTAGCTGAACTGTTTGCCTAAGTATTCTGTCACTCAATAAATATCATAACTGTGAGATAAATCTGCAGTCACTAAAATCTGCTTCTTAACTCTTAACTAATGCTGTTACCTGTGTACTCAATACAAACATGTAGGGTTCTTTTTTTTTAAACTCTATACTGGGTTATAAGGTCGGTAGGTACAGCACTGCTTCACTCCTGCACTTCTCAAAACCGGTGTCACGTGTGTGGCCAAGGACTGAAGTTTTCCAGAGATGTTCCAAGAGAGCTGGACATGAAACTGTAAATGTCTGCAACATACTGTATACTCTTGACTTTCTGTAATGTGTGCATGAGCAGCTGCAGCAAGTGTGCCAACATGTGAATACATCAGCAAAACTTGAACACTGATGCAGAGCGAGTGTACCTGCTGACATGAGTTGTTTTCTTAATTGTTTATTTCCTGACCTGAATGTTGCCCACAAAACATCTCTGGTGTTCATGTATGAAAACCTTTTTAAACAATGCTGGAAAAAAAGGAACAAAAGAGGCCAAATGCTACTGTCACACTGTTGCGTATTTTGCTGAGTATTTTGACGTATTTTAAAAATACTTTCTCAGTAGGTCAAAAAGTTTTAAAAAATTAGACGTATTGAAAAAAAGTCAAGTTTTGTAACATGGCTGACATACGTGTAACATAGATGTATTCTCATGACTTACAACATATTGGGTTGAGGTTTGGAAAACTGACAGCATATTAAAGCGTTTCTAAATTAAATGTTATATTTTCCACCTCGAAACCACATTGTTTTTGTTGGTTCGTACAAGTGACGTTCTGGCAACACATCTGTGGTATTCACCAGCATCTTCTTGTCACAATTTTTTCCATGAGCTTGAAATAACGTCCAGATTCCAGTTTTCAGGGTCTATCCATGGTCCTCATCTGGGGTTTTCTTTTTGCTAGTGTTTTCTGTAGCTCCACCCCACCATATCTACATTTGGCAATTCTTAAGTTGTCCTCTTCATCCAAACTTGATAGACAACAGCAACTTCCACATCAGAGTTTTATTTTCTTCTTTTGTGTGAAATGTGTGTGTGGGGGATGTTAGTCGTGTTGTGGTGCACATCATGTGACTGAACTAAGTACACAATGGCTACTAAACAAAATAAAACAAATCCAAATATGTGGTACAGATGTTGTTGGTACTGTCAAACTCCAACAACTCAATATTAGCAAGCAACAACCACATGACATAAACAACATATTTTGGGCTGAAAATATGACGTGTCTTTTTAGGGCGACACATTCAAATAAAGAAAACTAATCTGAATTTGAAAATTCAAGATGGCCACCACAGCTTGTTTCAAATTGTTGTAAATCAGCCTTTTTTAAAATGAACAGAAATTTGGTGTGGTGATAGCCAAGAGCAATCCCCATGATGTTCTGAAAGCTAATCTCAATCTTAAGCTAAGGGCTAATGCTAAGTTGAGAATGATATATTTCAGCCAATTTTAGACACATGAAACTGATATTCGGCATAATATTAGCAAACATTATTCTTCAACAAATTCTGAATAAAAATCTAAATTGACCACCCCTCTTGCTGTTAGCATAACACCTAGTTAATGTTATGTTGCTGCTCCGTAACCTTTGTTCTTATTGCTTATGTGAGCCCTAATGTTTCAGAGTCAGCTTCATTCATGCTACAAAACTTTTCGACATGACCAATAAATCTGTGGTAACGTGGCGTTGTTAGAGATCACACTGTATGCTTTCAGTTACATAAAAAGCTGATGTGACTTTTTTTTTATTGCAACCTCCAATTTTAATACGTCATAGAAACGCAAGGCAAATACGCAAATGTGGGAGAAGTATTTTATTCTGACTTGATGTTTGTAGCTTGGGTCAAGCTTGATGCTGGATACTAAAATGTTTTAATTTATTTTTTTCAGTTGGGAGTAAGTCATATTTTATGAATTGTACAAAAACTCAACTACACTAGTGCCTCTACAGAGATAAGTACTAATGTGAAGATTAGAATTTTGTATAAACCTGAGTAAGTGGCCCAATATGCCTTTACTGAAGACATCATTATTTTACCAACGTGGATCTGTGGCCTACAGATGACAGCAAAGTGATACACGTCATGGTTAAATGCTTTGAGTCATTAATCCTAGACTTTTACAAATTTAGCTTCTCACAAATTCCTAGGACTGCTTGCACTACTTTTTAAATGCTTCAGTTTGTGTTCATATGTGCAGTGTCATTGTATGTGTGATTTAAAAGACGAATAAAACAATCTTAAAACCAAACATTTGCCTTCTGATATAAGAATCCTCACAGGCTGTTAAAACAGGGGAAAAAAATACATTTGCAAAAATAAACCCAACAAAGAATTCCTGGACTGTACAAATTTTATTTTAAAATATTTATGGAGAATAATCAGCCAGTATAAGCTTTAATTGATAAAGCTAATTACAAGCTATACATTTAAAGTCCAACCCACCATTATAGTACCAAGTGCTCTTAAGAGGTAATCACTATTATAGAATATGATAGTTACATTTTTGTATTTGATTAATACAAGTGTTAAAAAACAAACCAATCATGGAAACACCCAAGCAAACAGCAGATGATCGCAGATGGCTGATGATGTCACGCAAGGGACTGGCACAGACAAGAGTGTGTGACAACTATGTTTTCAGTGGTTTAGAAAACATCTATGACGACTTATCTGCAACTGAAATGCAATTGAAATTTTTACTGTTGGGGGTGAAGTTCTGCCTCAAGTGGACGAGCTCAAGTGTCTTCTTGTTCATGAGTGAGGGAAGAAAGGAGTGTCTTCTTGTTCATGAGTGAGGGAAGAAAGGAGTGTGAGATTGATAGTCGGATCAGTGCAGCTTACGCAGTTTTGCAGACTCTGTACCGGTCTGTTATGGTGAAGAGGGAGCTGAGCTGTAAGGCAAAGCTCTCTGTTTACTGATCAGTCTACGTGCCTACCCTCACCATGGTCACAAGCTTTGGGTAGTGACCGAAAGAACAAGACCGCGGACACAAGCAGTCAAAACGTTTTTTTTCAGCAGGGTAGCTGGACTCTCCCTTAGAGATAGGATAAGAAGTTCAGTTACCTGGGAGAGTAAAGCCGCTGCTCCTCCACATCGAGAGGAGCCAGTTGAGGTGGTTTGGGCATCTGGTAAGGATGCCTACCGGACGCCTCCCTAGGGAGGTGCTTCATGTATGTCCAACTGGGAGGAGACCTCGAGGAAGACCCAGGACATCCTGGAGGGACTATGTCTCTTGGCTGGCCTGGGAACACCTTGGAGTCCTCCCAGAGGAGCTGGAAGAGGTGGCTGTGGAAAGAGAGGTCTGGGTTTCCCTGCTCAAGATGCTGCCCCGTGACCTGACTTTGGATAAAATGGAGGAGGATGGATGGATGGATGGATGGATGGATGGATGGATGGATGGATGGATGGATGGATGGATGGATGGATGGATGGATGGAGAATTCTTTTTTCATTTCAGAAATTTTTACATTTTATTCATTATAAACTAATAATAATAAATTCTCTATAAAAATACAAATCACAAATAAAATATAAGGCAGCGGAAAGAAGAAAAACATCTTGTAATACCTGCCCTTTTTTTCCAAAAATAAATTCAAACAATAAGAATCTAATAACAAAAACAGAAACAACATCAACTCTATCTCGAGCAACAAATAGATAGGAATTGTGCTATTTTATATTTCTTCAACAGGCCACCTTTAATCATTCTCTTAAACAAACACATTGATCTGGTCTTATTCCTTGGATTGAAGGACATCGTTCCTTCAAACTGGTTTGAAATTTATGCTTCACAAATATCTTTATCTCCTCAAGATTGCAACAACTACAACCCCTGGCAAATATTATGGAATCACCAGCCTCGGGGGATGTTCATTCAGTTGTTTAATTTTGTAGAAAAAAGCAGATCAATGACATGATCTGTTGATTCATGAGGCTTCATGATTCAACAGATCAACCTGATCATCAAATCATCCACCCACACCCACCCACAAGCCCACCCACACAGACCAATATTTGCGTTTTGACTCCCACCACCCACTGGAACACAAGTTAGGAGTGATCAGGACTCTGTACCACAGAGCAGACAG